TAATGGCAGTCCAACTGATACTAGGGGTAGTCCAACTGATACAAGTGGTGGCCCAACTGATAAAGTTATACAGTTTAATGAATTACGACAATTGCATGTTTGACCAGATTAAGTTGTGTTACATCACCGCTAAATCCTTATTGTTTTAACAAAGACCACAACATAAGTTTCGTTAGAGCGAAAACTTCGACATCAATTATTATATATAAAGAACTGTAATTGATAATCCTCTTCTAATATCGTATTTTTTACGTCTAGAGTCTGTCTGTTTGTTACACAATGGGCTATCTGAGTTCTGCCCACCGCGGGTATCGAAACTCAATTTTTAGCATTATAAGCCCTCATACTTACCGTTAGGCCACACTTACCTTTAAAAACAGTGCATTTTTTATATATAAGATTTATAAATATCATTCATTCATTTACTCCTTTACGTCTGTGAGTTTATTGTTCTTTTTTTAATGCTTTATTCGTCTTAACTTTATAACTCCCTTGTAATACAATGTTCTATTTTACTTGTACTGTCTATAATTTCTGTTTGATAAAGTGTTTTACTCTGCTAGAGATATAATAACACAGGCCTGCAAATTTAATCTCCATAAAAGTTGTTTTGGTTTTAATAACGGATTTTTCATGATTCAGCTACGCAGATTTCGAAAAGAATATTCATTTTTTTTTATTATCACGTAAGGATTATTTACAAATCGGGAAGAAGAAAAAAAAAAACTCTTACTTAGATCAAATTATTATTTCGTTTACCACAATGAACATTTTTTATTATTATGTTTGTTAACAAAAATACAAACAAATTGACGAAAAGTGAAGAGCATTGATGTCAAACGGATATGCATCCTCATTCACTCTGACTCGTGTGTGTGAAATGTACGTCTTTTAGTCTCAAAACTACGTTTTGTGGGTCTTTATTTTATGTATTGCGTTATGACGTTTGGTGAAAAATCTGTACGTGATGGATAAAAACGAATATCATTTTCGGATTCAGCGAACAGGAATTGTTGTAGAACATGTAGAAATTTCAAGACAATAATACCACCGCAGGTAGAAAAAAAAATGAATATTGTTTTCGAAATCTGCGTAGCCGGATTATGGAAAATCAACTTTTATGAAATTTAAATTCGCAGGCCTGTGTTATCAAATCATAGACATTGTGTTTGGAATTTTTCATGAGCATGCGCACACTATTATAGCCTAAGAATGTCAGTACATTCATTTCAATAAAGATTGATATTCCACCTTACGAAATATTACTAGTTTTCAACTCAAAATTCTAACACGCAAAACAAAATGCTTGCTGTAAATTTAATTGGGCTACTAGTGCCATTTTATATAATTCAACTTTCGTGCTTTATTTTAAAGGACTGCTTACTTTTGAATTTCGCGCAAAGCTACACGAGGGCTATCTGCGCTAGCCGTCCCTAATTTAGCAGTGAAAGACTAGAGGGAAGGCAGCTAGTCACCACCACCAACTCTTGGACTACTCTTTTACCAACGAATAGTGGGATTGACCGTCACTATATAACGCCCAAACGGCTGAAAGGGCAAGCATGTTTGGTGGGACGGGGATTCGAACCCGCGACCCGCCATGCCGGGCCAGATATTTTTTGTTTTACATTCCTTGAAATTATTTCTTTCTTAACTTACGAGAAACTACTTTAAAAAAACTTAACGTGTAACTTTGCGCGAAATAAAAAAACAACAACAACAAATTATCATCTGAACTTGGCTGGATCTGTTTGAGTTCATATTTCTATTTTCAATTTTCAGTTTTAAGTCGAAAAATTGAAATTAATCTTGCTACAGTGTCTCACTTGCTTCGTTTCGCAAAATTAATATCAGAATTGTTAATTTGGTACTTTGAAAAATAAGAAAATAATCTATCGTCCTCACATCTCTGTCCAAGAAAGAGGAAAGGAAAATGCACGACACCGAATCAAATAAAAATAAAGGGGGAAAAGAAGGCTTTTACGAATAAGAAAAGACCAGCTTTTTGAGCTTTAAATTAAGATGCCGTACTCAAAATTTTCGAAAAATATATCCTTGAAGTTCTAAAATCATATTTGCTACTTGCTGATCGGTTTAGGACAAGTACCAATACATCAAGATAAAATATAGTTCGCTATACCAGTTTAGGACAAGTATCAATACATCAAGATAAAATATAGCTCGCTATCTACTTTAGATATCCATGAATTAGTATCATACTTGAACTATTTTGTTAGATAAAGGACACCGTCGTTCTCGTGCACTAGATGGATTATGGAAAGCAAGCAGGGTGGAGTAGTACGCTTTGGACGTAATTGCTTTAAGACTAATCCTTTTGCATTGTAAATATGTTGAAAGCCTGTTGTAAAGGTTCAAGGTCGTTACATAGAGTATAACCGTGTGTCGACTAGGACTGTAAAATCGTTTTAATATAACGTACTCAACCTCTGCCTTGCATTAAATAAAGATTATTCTGATCAAATATATAGTTTTGAGGGAATTTTAATTAATTTCTTATGTAAAGATTACAAGTAATATCATAGTAACTTTAATATTTATCTTAAGGCTTTACGTTCCATGATTTGCTAGAAAATCGCACAAGTTAATCAGCTATTCATTCAACAACGACGATATGTGTTTGAGACTTTGGCTGTAAAAAAAAATACAAAAAACATTGCCATCTGAAGAGATACGAAAGCAAGCAAACGGGCGAAGTATGAATTTATTTTCGCGGTGTTTTTTATAGGTCTGACAGTTTGTCTTATTGAAAAGCCACATTGGCCATATCCATTGTGTTCACCGTAAAGAATCGAATCCCGGATTGTAGCGCTTAACTCCACCAGGAGAAATACGTCTGACCGAGGAGCTCGAGGCTAAGACTGGTTTCTTTTATAACCGAGCAGAGCATCGTTTGAAAATACTGTAAATATACAACATCAAAAATATAAATAAAAACTACTTTCCAAGCAATAAGCTTCAGTGCTTATAACGCTTGAGATTCAAGGTTCAATCTCTGCTAGATGGGCCACCGTGCAAACTTGTGCTTAACAGCATAAAAACAATGATGATGATGGACACAACAGGATAATCGACATATTTTGTCTGTTTTCTTGTTGTTAAAGTGCAATGGGCTATCCGTGCTCTGCCCACCGTGTGTTGTTAAAGTACAATGGGCTATCCGCGCTCTGCCCACCGTGTGTTGTTAAAGTGCAATGGGCTATCCGCGCTCTGCCCACCGTGTGTTGTTAAAGTGCAATGGGCTATCCACGCACTGCCCACCGTGTGTATCGAAACCCGATTTTTAGCGTTATAAGCCCGTCTGAGACATCAAGGAGGAAAGCTTTTTTGGAAACTTTTTTTTTCCATCAAAATACGTTTTGTCAACATTG